TTGAACATCCTTAAATTGCCACGTGTCACTTTTTTGACTCTTGAGACAGTTTGCGCAAAAGCTTGAACACCCCGAACATCTTTGAAACTGCCACGTGTCAGGGAAACTTTGTCTCTTGAGAAAGTTTGCGCAAAAGCCTGAACAGCCTGAACATCTTGAACGTGCTGAAACTGCCATGTGTCACTTTTTTGACTCTTGAGAAAGTTTGGGCAAAAGCCTGAACATCCTGAACATCTTGAACATCTTGAAACAGCCACGTGTCACTTTTTCGCCCGATGAGAAAGTTTGGGCAAAAGCTTGAACACCCTGAACATGGCCGGCGGGCCGCCGAGAAAAATCATGGAATGTGTTACAAGTTTGCGCAAATCCCTGAACACCCTGAACACGCCATGGAGATCTGTGGAGAGGAGAACTCACCTGCCACACAAAGCGTACATCTGATCGACTAAATGGCTGCCCCCCATGTCGCCTTGGAAGGCCCAGTAGTCCACGAACCGCTTGTCCAGCGTGCGGCAGACGCTGAGATCATCGGGGGCCACCGGAGCCGTCTCACCGCCCAGCATGCTCTCGAAGCGAGTCAGCTTCCCGATCTGCCGCATGGGACGGGCCTCCGAGCACTCGCCGCTGCTGCAGTGGTACAGAAGAGCGCGGTCCCGCACGAGCACCGCAAAAGTGTTGCTCCCGCTGTGGTCGGCCCCATAGGGGCATCGGCGCTCCCCGTCGACTCGGAAGACGTACATCGAACCGGCGGCGGAGCGCTTCATCTTGTCAAAGCGGGAAGTCGTGTCCCCGTGCTTTGCAAGGCATGCTTTGATCCGCTCCAGCACGGCCGGTTCCGGAGCAACCTCCGCCTCTCCGGTGCTCGTCGAGGCCGGTGCAGTCCAGAAGGGATCGTGCCGAACCGATTCTCTGAGAGAAAGGACGACTTCTTTCAGACTTGGGCGCAATCTTGAAACGAGCTCAGCTCTCAAGGTCGACCCATTGTAGGAATGTCACATTGATAAAAAAATGCCACGTGTCTTTTTGTGCACGCAAGAAGTTTGGGCAAAAGCCTGAACATGCTGAACATGGCTGGCCACCAACCCCCTGGAAAATCCAACTTGCCACTTTCGTGCCCTGTGAGAAAGTTTGGGCAAAAGCCTGAACATCTTGAACAAGCCCCTCGATAGCAGATAGATTCCTCGACAGGGATCGAAGCCGTAAGAAATTTTGGGCAAAACCCTGAACACCCTGAACACGCCGTGGAGAATTGTGGAGAGCAAGTAGATGGCAACGACGAGTCCATGAGACATAGGGAACGGAGCTTGGGAAAATCTCTCTCACCTGGCGGCCGCGCCTTCCCCGTTGATGAATGAGATCAACCACTGGGGCATGGACCGCAGATTCGACCGGTCGGGCTTGATCTCCTCCAGCCAAGTGTACGCCAGCTGGGCGCCGTCTGCGGCAGCATAGCAGCTCGGGGCGCAATAGAGCATGCCACCATCTCCGCGAGTATCTATCCCGACCCTCTTCGGACCCTCTGACCCTGTGTCCCTCTGACCCTTCCACTTGAGTTTGTTCCTGCATCCTCCGCTGATCAGCCCTACGTCTAGAGAGGCTCTGAGCGAGAAGAGCAAGTGCACGCCGCCGCTCCCCGTCCGTTCCTTGGGTGTATCGCTCGGCAGGCACCCGTTCTCCTCGAGCATCTCCTGAAAAGCTGCAGCTCCGTTGTCCTTTAGATCTACATCGACCGCGTACACATCCGAGGCGGATCCGGTGATCATGGCGAGCGAGTTGTGTCTCGGCTTGACGTACTCTTTCAGGCAGTTGTCCAAGCGGCATGCGCCCCATCTCGAGGGCAATCCGCGCGGCGTCTTGACCCCCATCGAGTTGACGGAGAGGTCCACGGACAGCGTAGGCACCCCCATACTATGGAAGTGCCGCGCTGCGTCCAAGCACGGGTCCTGGTCTGCGGCGGCAGGGGCTGGGGGCACCTCCAACGGCTCGTCGGGCTTCTCAACGTCCATCTACGCAGGTTGGGACTTACAGAGTTCAATATGCTGCTTCAAGGCATCACATGGGCCAACCGGTGCATCTCGCTGAATGAGCAAGATTGTGAGCAGGACCTAGACGCCCACAGATACACGCATTGCAGGAGGAATCCAAAGGTTTTCACTGTACTTTTGCAATCCTTTGGCCAAGGGTTTGGATCTTCTGTGTAACGTGGGTGTCTATAAATTGCCTTGTGACCGTTCAATCACCTGGGCCCAAGCAAGACCACCATGGTGTAGGACCGACCTGCACCTTGTTCAACGTGTTCAGGCTTTTGCCTAAACTTTTCCAAAATCGTTGTAGCGGGCCAAGAAGAGTTCATCTTGCTCACATGGTCCGGCAAGGGTGCCATACGGGCTTCGACTTCTTGCTCTGTGCTCATAGCCACGGGCGGTGTGACTTCCCTTAGTGGAGCTCGGATCTATAAAATGAGAATAAGGTCGTGAAGATTTGGGCGATTGGGTCATCATTGGAGGGGCTTAAGAAATGGCAGAGCCTGAATGTTGCAGGCTTCTGGCACGCGGCCGCTCCTAGAGTTGAACCAGGGATTGCGAGGCTCCGTCAGCACCAACAGCCACAAAAAACGATTGCCTTACCTTTTTTGGAATATCAATCCGGCAAACGTCCCCAAAGTACTGCAGCATTGCATCGTCATCCGACTTTTGATCCTCCGTAAAAGGGGGACCATCGAGCTCGGGTTGGGAGAGATCCACAGGGGCCTCGTTGCCAATTGCCTCCGTCTGCACCTCCTCTGTCTCTGGGGCCGTTTTCGGTTCCGATACTCGGGAGGTCTCCAGCTGATATGACCTGCGTCTTGACGGTGCAGCATGGCTTGCCTCACCCACAGGCAACCGGCGCTTTGCGATGCGGTTTGCGAGCTCGTCTTCCTTCATCTCTGCGTCCATCTGCGCATAAGCTATGAGAGGGTCGACCGGTTCTTGGGTCGAGTTGTCCATCATGTCCTGGTCCTGGGAGGTCTCCTCATCCTCGGACTCCTCCTGACGATCGAATTCGACCCCTTCGTTATCCTCCCTATCCGGCTCCGGAACCTGCTTCTCTTCTTCCGACTCTGTTTCGTCCTCCTGCACAAAGTTGCGGAGAGGTGGTGACATTAGATGCATGTCTAACCCTTGCAAACGTTCCACATGCTTCACATGTCGTCGGTGCTCGACGAAAGGCACAGACTTTCTAAGATGCACGCGTTCTTTTGAGTCTTGAAAGAAGAGTCCGGATACCACGAGAAAACACCAAAGACTCGTTGCCTCAGTGCATTGAGAGACTCTGTCGTGAAAACTTTCCATAAAATGATTTGATTCTCTGCTCAGGTTCTCCTCCGGGTGGAGCGTTTGCGAAGCCACCTCGTCCACGGGAGCTTGCTTAGGCGGTTGCAGCTCTCCACCAGGAGGCTTCATTGACAGCTGGGCTTGCAAACCAGCGGTGGCTCCTTCCAGTCCCGCAGTCGTGCGGTGAGCCTTTTGCGCCTTTTTTTTTTTTGCTGGTCGTCTCAGCTCAGCGATGGGAGCGTCGTCATCTGACGAGCAGCCTGCTGGTCTATCTGACGAACTGTTCACCTCTTCGATAGCCTGCAACATGAAACATTGGACGTAACGTTAGCAAGCCTATTGTGTGTTTCTTCCCCTCGAGAGAGGTGAGGCATGTTAATATGCAGAGGGGTTGGAAGAGGAAAAACCTAGGAGCTGGCGCCCTGGAGCACGGGACTCGGAGCTCAGCAGACCAAACACCGCTGGAGGTTGGCGCAACCTAAGATGTGTCAAGCGGGCTGGCGCCATGTGCAGCCTGGAGTCAAACTTCTGCGCAAACTTTCTCCCGGGGCAGAAAGAAACACGTGGCAGAACTTTTAGGATGTTTAAGGTGTTCAAGCTTTTGCGCAAACTTTCCACCGAGGCGGAAATAAAACATGTGGCAGTTTCAGGATGTTCAAGGTGTTCCGAAGTTCAAGCTTTTGCGCAAATTTCTACCAGGGCGAAAAGAAACACGTGGCAGTTTCTGGATGTTCAAGCTGCTCAAGCTCTGCGCAAACTTTCTCCACGGTGCAAAAAGAGCGGCACGGTGGCAGTTCTAGAGAGGGCATCCTGGCATGTTCAGGCTGTTCAGACTTTTGCCCGGACTTTCTCCCGGAGCGAAAAGAGCACTTGGCAGTGGCAATTTTATGTCGGATGTGTAGGCTTTTGTGCATTTGTTTCTAGACCTCGTTCTCAAGCACCTCTGTGTGTCATTCACACAAGCAATCTGGTTCTAAGGAAATTCTGGCCTTACGGTGTGCTCTTGCAACTCACCTGCTGGTTTTTCAAGAGGCGAGCGCTCGGTCCTTCAGCAGCTTCATGCTGAGCCTCTACGGTTGGAATCACAGATAGGCGCAGATTTCTTTGGAACTCTGCAAATTTTTCCATGGATTGCAGGCCATGAAGCGGTCGCGATGCCATGCTTTGCACCGTGCGCTGAGATGTAAAGCTTTGAGCCGGCAGTGCTGCACGCACTGGTCCTGCACATCTAGCGCTCCTGAGCGGCTGGTCGGCAGCGAGTTTGAAAGAAAAGACGAAGGAGAGTGCCGATTTGGAGCAGAGTTCCTCGCCAATCGGAGCTTCTGGAACGTGTTGGCTGCCCGCCGAGCGTGCCAAGTCAGCTTCGGCGGCCCGCCGGGAAGCAAACCGCAACCGCTTTTAGCAAAAACGTCGGCGCGCGATCAGACGGTTGGAATTCGACGCGGTCTGCAGCGGACGGTCCCGAAGCATGCAGTCACTCAGTGCTAGGCTAGGGATCCCAGCGGAAAACCGCCTCGGGGCACGGAAAGACCCGAGACCCCGCTCCAAGCAAAGGACCCGGCTGACTGGCCCCAAGACTCGCACTTTCGGGCCGGGGGGTCCCATTCGAACCTTTCAATACCCGGTGGCATCTACCGGCTAGATCCCTGCGGAAAAATACCTCGGGGCAGGCCGCGGACATGCATTCCGAACCGGTCGCTGCCCCGACGTCCCACACTGCGCCAATCCCGAGAGAAAAGGTGCGCGGTCATGCTCGCGCACCTCAACACGTGCCCTGCCCTTCCAGCACACTGCGCTATAACACACTTTATCTTGAAGTCTAGATATATGGTATTGCTCTTGCTCTGGTGTTGTGGTGAAGTGGTGTCGGAGTTGGTGAGGATCCGGATCCGGGATTCGGATCCCGAACGCAATCTCTTTGGGCCAACATGCCATTATGTTTTTTTCCCGTGACGTCACGGGGCACCTTGACTGACGTGGGAAAAACATTATTCTGAGGATGTAAGGGATTTGGGGTTCAGATTTTTCCAGCAAGCCAAATGAAGTTCGGTGTTAAATTTGAGCCACTCAAA